ACAACCCAGGACTACCTGTCCAGGGGTGCCACTGCCCACAGTGGGCTGGACTTCCCACGTCAATCATTCACCAAGCAATACCCCACAGACTTGTCTACAGGCCATTCTAACATAAGCATGTTCTCAATTAAGATTCCCTCTTCCCAGATAGTTGATGAAAACTAACCAGCGCACACACATAAAGCGCATATGTTTTTCTTTCATGCTACAAGGCATAAAGAATTTTACAAGCTAATAAATGCAAATCTTGAAGAAGTGTAACACTATTTTCTCAACTAGGCTATTCCACCAAGCATCTCGATGGCCCAAAGGAACCAGTGACATACCCTATTCAAGTTTCATTCACTAGCATACACTATGCATCTAGTGTGGTGTTCAGGGCTCCTGACCTATGAGCGGAGCCTTCAGGAACAAAACATCATAATTAGGGAGATGAAACACCAATGATTGTCCATAAAACATCCTTAGATTTCAAACCATCAGAGTCCAAATCCAGAGAAAAGGTACGGAGAAATACACGCAGATGAAGATGAAGGGGAGATATTAGTGAGACATGATAAACATGAGCATTTAAGAGGGTGGAATTTAGATTAATTCTATACTTCCCTCAAAAAAAAAGCTAAGATGAAGGACTGGGGAGGTGGCTCAGTAGGTATCGCGCTGGCTGCACCAGCACAAGGACCTGAGTTGGAACCCCAGTTCCCCATAAAATGTAGGGTGTGATTAGTAGTACATACTTTATAATCTCTGTATTGGGATGAGGGACGGGGGTGGGGGTCAGAAAGATCCTGGGGTTTCTTGGCCATTCAGTCAGTCAAAACAGCAGGCCATAGTTGAGTGAGAGGCTCTGTCTTTAAGGAAGATGGAGGTGGGGAGTGAGCAGATGGAGAGGAACTGAGGAAGATACCTGAAGCTGACCTCCCCATGCACACCTGGGCATACACGAGCATGCACGCACCAAGAAAAAGTAACAAATGCCAACCAAATGAATTAACCTCTGAGGAAACACAAAGTTATCCAATGTTCTACATTTTGCTTTCAAAGTCAGCAACAAAAGAGCACAAAAATTTCAATAGGAACCACACATTTCTTCATACTAAATGTAACGAATTTTTAAGAGCAAGTAGCATTTGGCAGATAGTGACCAGGTAAAATTCTCCAGCTGTCATCTCGTCACTAACATTGCCACGCACCACACTGCTTCACAGATGCTGACGGCTCTGGTGAGATGTCACGGTGCCTGGTCTCAACACGGTAAAAGGCAGCAGCGCGTTGAAGAGGGCAAGGTGTCCACTCCAAGTGCTGGGGAGAAAGCTAACCTTACTTGGGAGAAGGGGAGGATGTTAAGTTAGACTTGAAACCCAGTATCAGTACCACCAGATGAAAGCAGATGTAAAAGAAAGAGCCCCAGACTCCTGCCCTAGGTCAGTTCTCAGGGAGTTAGCTGCCTGTCTGCCACCTCCAGTACCACCCACTCGCTGACCTCAGGCATCAGAAGCAGAGCCAGACTCCACCTGCTGGCAGGGCATGGAAGACACAGCATAGTGCCTTAGAGCTCAGTATCAAGCCTCCAACAACAGATTCGAACACCAGGCAAAAATCAAAAGACCCACGACCAGGCTAGAGCTCACCAACTAATGCCCCAGTGTCTGAAACAGACTGGTACTCAGAGAGACAGATTCAAGTCTTGGCCTGCCTCACTGGCAACCTTAGAATTGGTCTGAGATGTTCTAAGATTTCACAGGTCCCTATGGTTGTAAGACTCGGGGATGACCCAGCTTAGTAGCAGTCCTAGTGAACAAAGCACAGTCTCTGACCTCAGACTTCAGGCAACAGCCCATCCCCAAGCCAGGGCTCAAGGATGGAGACCATGTCCTGCATCAGCACCACTGGTGCCCAGCCACTTGTCCTGAGCCTCACTATGCAAGACTCATACTTGGTCTGTATCCCTTCTGGTTGTGGAATAAGCCCACACCCCAGACTCACATTCCGCCCTTTGAGCTTGGAGCCTTAAGTACAATCCAAACTGGCATTAGAAACTGCCTTAACCAACACTACTGCAATCTTGGCCAGTGTGGATGGAGTAAGACTCTATCTGCTGATGACAGGATAAGTTAGTTAGTCCAACGCTAAGCCGTGGAACTCAGTGCCAGCCATGGCACCAAGAAAGATTTAAAAGCTTCCACCCCCAAGCCCGGGCTAGCAAAAGAGCCTCTAGACTTAACCTTGGTGCCAACAGGGATATACATACAGCCCTAGTCTATCAGATTTCTATTTGGGCCAGCATCAACTTCAACTGGTTCAAGTTGTCTTAAGCCATAAGACTGTGTCAACCATTTACAGTTCACAGCATCATGGACCTTGGTGCTACCCTAGCGCTGTCTAAATGAACTATGGGTTCACAGAATGCAATAGTTCTGCAGTATGAATGACCAAGTGCCTGTTGCTGGTCTCTCTGTGAGCATAGGCAAGTTGCTATAGATGGGTGTTTTAGGTGTTTAGGTGAAGCCCAGCTCTACAGAAATATTTGGGAGTCTATCACTCTTTTTAGGTTATGACTTGGTTCAAGCTGAATTATGTACCAGGTAGATTAGAATAAAACTGGGCTTAGACTGCCCTCTAGTGTTACAACTGTGACAACACACCGATGGTGAATGTGGGAATCGAGCCTCTAATACTGAAAAAGCAAAAGCAGCAGCAGAGGTGGGGGAGAGTTTCTCCAAAGAAAGTCACAAAAGCCAAGGTGCAAAGACTGAAACAAGAGCCTAAAGCATCCATGCTCAGATGGCATCACAAACCATCACGAAGAGCCGTCAGGAAACCACGGCCTCACCTACTGGAATAATAAAGCACAAGGAAGTAGTCACAGTAATTGGTATGAGCAGACTTTTAGAATGGGATTCTAAAAACAGATGCTTTGAGGAAACTCAAGAAAAGACAGAGGGAAACTTAAGATGAAAAAATTCTAATTTTTTGATTATTTACTGTTTGTGAAAGAGTCCAAGAGAAGGAGAGGGGGGAGGAGAGAGAGAGAGAGAGAGAGAGAGAGAGAGAGAGAGAGAGAGAGAGAACATGAATGGATAGTTGTCCTGCTTCATGTGCCACGACTTGCAAGTGAAAGATGGAGGCCAGCTTTTGAGGCTGATATCTTTCCTTCTACCATGTGGGTCCGAGGGATTGAACTTGGGTCTCAGATTTGGTAGCATGGGCCTTTACCTGCTGATTCATCTCATTCATTAGACCACAGCGAAACAAATAAGCAAACAAGCAAAACAAAAACTAGAAACCCCTTAGCTGAAAATTAACAACAAAATTAAAACCTAAGCGTTAAATTAAAAAATAAATAAGCCGGGCGGTGGTGGCGCACGCCTTTAATCCCAGCACTCAGGAGGCAGAGGCAGGTGGATCTCTGTGAGTTCAAGGCTGGGCTGGACCGACAGCCTCCAAAACAATACAGAGAAACCCTGTCTTGTAAAACCAAATAAATAAATAAATAAATAAATAAATAAATAAATAAATAAATAAATAAAAACAAGATGAGAAGTCAAGTTGCGGAGAGTGTGATCCCGGTAGATGTCTCAGCAAGTAAAGTGCCTCACGCACAAGCCTAGGGACCTGAGCTTGGTCCCCAGGTCTGTTTGCATGGGGAATCATCATATCCCCTCATCTTACTGTCAGTCTGTGATGTCACTAGGCACTAAGTGAGTAACATCTGAGAGTCTTGTCTATCAAACCTTGACATTTATTTACTTATTTTACAGACTATACATCTGACAAAGGATTATTATCTAGATTCAACAAACAACTAAAGAATTCATCCACAGAAACACAATGCAAATTAAAAATGGCAATTGCAATGAACATTTCAAAAAGATATCTGAATGGTGAACAGTTCTATGGGGGTAAGTTAATCAAAACCACGATGAGGCAGCATTTTACCTTAGTAAGAAACTACTCTCAAAAATGGCTGACAGTGGCAAAGAGCTGGTGGTAGTATTCTTGTTTTATGTATTGGTTTAAAAACAAACTTGATTAATAAACAACTATGAGAGGATAAATGGGAATATGTTGACTTGTATTTGAAAAAGGATCTAGGCATCTGTGAAGCTCTTTATTCCAGTGATAACAATGTCCTTACTTTGCAATGAAAATGGCACAGTACAGTTGAGGGGGTGGACTGAGGAAGACTGTGTGTACCCAGAAGGACTGTAGGAGGCTGAGTGTGTACTCATGAGGACTATAGAGACTGGGTGTGTACTCCAGAGGACTGTAGAGACTGTCTGTGTACTCCTGAGGAATGTAGAGACTGATTGTGTACTCCTGAGGACTGTAGAGGCTGAGTGTGTACTCCTGAGGACTGTAGAGACTGAGTGTGTTCTCATGAGGACTTTAGAGGCTGAGTGTGTACTCCTGAGGACTGTAGAGACTGAGTGTATACTCCTAAGGACTGTAGAGACTGAGTGTGTATTCATGGGGACTGTAGAGACTGAGTGTGTACTCCTGAGGACTGTAGAGACTGAGTTTGTACTCATGAGGACTGTAGAGACTGAGTGTGTACTCATGAGGACTGTAGAGACTGAGTGTGTACTCCTGAGGACTGTAGAGACTGAGTGTGTACTCCTGAGGACTGTAGAGACTGAGTGTGTACTCCTGAGGACTGTAGAGACTGAGTGTGTACTCCTGAGGACTGTAGAGACTGAGTGTGTACTCATGAGGACTGTAGAGACTGAGTGTGTACTCATGGAGACTGTAGAGGCTGAGTGTGTACTCATGAGGACTGTAGAGACTGAGTGTGTACTCCTGAGGACTGTAGAGACTGAGTGTGTACTCATGAGGACAGCTAAGCCCATTGCAGTCTTAGTGGTTATGGGTCTCATCTGACAGGCATTCATGTGCGGGTGCTGGAAAGACCCGGGTTGAAGAAAGAAATCTCCCACAGAAAACCCAATCATGGAGATAGATGGGTAAGCCAGTGAATGGATTGTCTTCCAAGGACCTACCGTTCCATCCCCTCCACAAGCCAGAATTCGCAGATTTGGTACCTTCCTGTACAACTCCAGCCTGGAGAGGAAATGGAGGACAAGGTAAGCACAGTATTCTCAGTAGAGATGTACCCGCCAAGGACACATGTGGTCTGCCCATTACCCACAGAACCCAGGCAAACACACTCCCACAACTGGGTCAGAAGCCAGAGGCAGACACTGGTGTTAATGAGCAGCACTGGGCTGGATGATGGAGTCCTCCAGTCTTCTCATGATCCTCCAACGTCCTGCCCACCCACACTGTCTTCCTCTCTGGTTTACTTCCGTTCTCCTTTTCCATCTCCTATCACTCTTCTTTTCTCCTTTCTCAGAGAAAAACCATAACTAACCTTTCTGTGTTTCCTCCTTACTTAATTCTAGTTAACTTTCCCTGGGCCTACCTATCTGTCAAATCCACAGTTAGCACTCTTCATCCTAGGAAATTTCAGAAAGATGGAGAAGACTCAGCAGCCACTGTCGTTACTATAGTATTCTCAAGTATTCTTTAGTCGCCCACTCAGTCAGCCTTCCCTCCTGCCAGCATGAGGTGGGGGACATCCACTGGCTTGTCTTTACTTTGAATGTGCCTGCTTGGGGTCAGATCATTTTGTCTTTCTGATCCACTCTTAAGAAACACAGTCATTCGGCCTTGCAAAGTCTCTTGCTGTGGGCAACTCTGCTCTGGAAAATCACGCCTACTTATATATATAGTAAATAATGTAGGTTTTCCTGAAAAGATTGCTTGTCTTGCTATGATCCCTATGAAACATCGACATAAGGTATAACTTAAGTGATAAAAAAAATCTGTTTTTTGGGGGGAAGAGTTGAGACAGGGTTTCTCTGTGGCTTTGGAGGCTGTCCTGGAACTTACTCTTGTAGACCAGGCTGGTCTCAAACAAACAGAGATCCACCTGCCTCTGCCTCCTGAGTGCTGGAAGTAAAGGTGTGTGCCACTACCACCCGGCTACATAAAAAAATATAAAATCCAAATGACCACAAGTCAGAGAAGCAGATTTTTACTTTAAAGTAAAGAAGCAGTTCTTCAACAAACCTTAAAATAATCTTATATCAGACCTCGGTAGTGAAGACATGGGTAGAGTAAAGGAAAGATAGAAACCTGATTCATAATTTTTATTTCCTTACAATTTTAAAATCTTTAATTTACCCATTTGTATAGGAATGCCCTTTCCTGGAAACCATCCGTATTGTCAACTCTTGTACTCTGGCATCGCTATTTATTAAAATTAACTGCCATCTCACGTCACCAGAACTATGTGAGTAATGTAGCAGGTCTGGGACAGGGAGGCAAACAATGACAGCAATGCCTCTGCTCTTCCCCACCATGCTGGGACATGTACATCTAGACCTAATGTTCAACACTTCCAGTTAAACACGTAAATACAGACAGAAGAGAAATTAGAATGCCTGTCCCACTGAACCATAGCATCCAAAGCTACAACTGGTTAATCTTGATACTTCCCACCTCTCTCTCTTCCTCCCTCCTTCCCTCCCTCCCTCCACCTATGCATCCATCTTTTCTTCTCCTCTCTTTTCTGTCTTCTCCATCACCCCCACATATACATTCTAGATGCATTCATATACATGCTGTCTCTCCATATCAAATGTTCATCCATTCATAAGTTGACCCCTCGGTTAGAAACTTACATTTATGTTAACGTGTATCTCCAAAATTGGACATGAACAAACAGAAGAGCAAGGAGCTCTTCCTCACTCCCTGACTTCCTGCGAATAGGCTTTAGTCCTCCATACACAAGCAGCAAAGCACAGGAGAAGCCAGCACTGACCCAACAATCGATCAGACAGTGGATTGATGAAAACAAACACGGTGATGGTGTGTGTGTGTGTGTGTGTGTGTGTGTGTGTGTGGTTAGGTTTCAAACAAAGCACAATATAGAAAAGAAAGTTACTAAGAGGTGAACGGGAAAAAAAGCTTCAACAGATCATGAAATAACAAATAAATTTGACCCCAAATCCCTATGGTCCTGACTTGCTTAAAATTCAGAAGGCCCACGGTGGGTGGGGACGGGGGTGTGGTGTTACCAGACTTACGCATCTTTTGGCCCTTCCTGAGAAAGATCAAAGACTTGCCGTGGATTCAGGTACCACATGAACATCTGCAGGACTTTGGTTCCCTATAAAGGAATAAATAAATACATACATACATAAATACATAAATAGAGACAAGTATTTCCAAACTAGAAAATAAATGCAATTATTCTCTCTTAAATTTTAATAAAGGGATCTGGAGATATGGCATGGTGTTTAAGGCTGCACACTGCTCTTGGAGAGGTCCTCCATTCCATTCCTAGAACTCACAATAGGCAGCTCACAACTGCCCCTCAAAGAAGATCTGTTATTTGTGGACTTGGCAGGCACACACACACACACACACACACACACACACACACACACACACCAAAGTTAAGCAAATCCTTTAAATAATGTTTGATTACCAGTCATATGGAACAGTAGCTAAAGTCATGAGCTTTGACTGTAGATACACACAGGGTGTATGCCCAGATAAGATGGTTGTCCAATCTGGATAATTTCATTAGACTCATCATGCGTTCTCTTCAATATATGGAGTAGAGAGTGCCCACTTCTATAAGCTCAATTGCAGTAATGTGTGATATGTGCTTAATGAACAGTATTTAAGAGTTTGGTATCACAATATAAAGGCAAAAGTTCACACAGGAAAGCAGCCAGCCTGGGCCATTTAACATCAATTTTTACTTTGTCTAAACATAGAAGAATGGACACGGGTACCGGATGTAAATGAAAGGGGCTGTCCCCTATCCAGGGCAATTATGGGGATCAGTGGGCTCACCCAGGATTAAGCCATCTAGCACAGCATGTGGCACAAAAGAGATCTCAGTACACACTGCCACTGCTCCCTTTCTCTGCTCTTTGTTAATCCATTTGTTCAATTACACTTGCTGGCATGGGGTCACCCTGTGGTTCCTAATTATCTCATGACCGTGTCAGTTGGTACAGGAGCCAATGAGGCTCTTTTGTTCCTCGGGTCCCCCCAAAGCTGTAATCTAAACGTTCTGCCTTATCACATGCTTGCTGTAATTCTGGGAATAACATCCCATTCTTAATTACCAGAACACCTCCTTCTGGCCTCAGGAAATGATATATATTTCGTTCCCTATCAAGCATAAACATGGATTTGGGGTCATCAACAAGGACATCATTTTCTTTCTTTCCATGCTGGGCCGTGCTACCATGTGCATTCAGGATTGTTTTGATCATATTGTGTGTTAAATAGGTAACATAAGCGTCGCTTTAATGACCAACTAACTTATAGAAAAGATCCCACTACCAGGGTAGAAAGTCAACTTCTCTGTCTTTGATTCCTGAAGCAGCGTGAATGGCTGACGGTAATTGTGCCTCTCCACCTCTGCTATGGTAGAGTGCACATCTCAATTCCAGCTTCTTCTATTATGTGAGATAATTAACAGCTTTCAAGAAAGGAAAATATAAAGCACGGGGAGGTTATTTTGCTTAACCTAAAATTTCTATAAAAGATCGGATCGGCTGCCTGGTTTCACTTTTGCTCATTTTAAATCTGTGTTCACTGGAACACCTAATTATCTCAATGTATCCTTCAAGAGAGGAATGTCTACAAAGCCTGCCAAGTCGTTCCTTCTGTGCCCCAAAGAGTCTGTTCTCCGATCAGTTTATTTATTAGACGGGCATCCCTGGACTTGGGCAGGGGTAACCTACAGGACGGTGCTTGGCTACCTCTAGGTGTGGACAGACTCCACTTCTGGTAAGGAGTCCTGTTGGACAGGAGAATGGGCAAAGGGCTCGCTATGAGAGGGGGGAGAAGGCAAGCTTCAGTCTCCAGCACCCACTTAAAAATCCAGGCACACACTTAGAACCCCAAGACCAGGGAGGTGGAGGCACATGGAGTCCTGGAGCTTGCTGGCCAACCAGTCCAGCCAAATCAGTGAGCTCCAAGTTCAGTCAGAGACCCTGCCAGCAAAGAAAGACCAAGAAAAGTGATTGAAGAAGACACCAGGCATATCTCTCTCTCTCTCTCTCTCTCTCTCTCTCTCTCTCTCTCTCTCTCTCTCTCTCTCTCTCTCACTCACACACACACACACACACGCACACATACACACAATAATCTTATTTCCAAAACATTGTATGAAGAGAAATGACAAGAATTTAAGTGAAAAATTTCTCTAAAGCAACCCTAGTGAGTGGCGCATACAGGCGAGATGCTCATAAAAGGTAGATACTCCCACATTTAAATGAGATCCGCTGATCACCTCTAGCACTAGGATAGGCTACTTTCACAGAAGCAGTTTGTTAATTGGAACCCAATGGTCACACAAATAGGATTCACTGGAAAGGGGTAATTTGCATCTTTCTCGGTGTTGAGATCAAAGCTACTCAGTCATTTATACAAGTATCACTGGAAGATCTAAGCGTATAACAGCTCTCACATGATGCACGCCAAATGCAAGACTTGCAACTTTCAACTTCCATGCAGGAGTCTGGTTTTCTTGAATGGGGAAAAAAAGCAATGCTCAAGGACTCCAATTCAATTCGCAGGTATGATAACTTGTGGAGCACTGAGCTCTTCAGCTATTGTGTGACTGGGTACTCTTGGGAGAGGGCTAAAGAAGGCCCTTTCCCATTCGGCTGCGGGAAAAGGCAACCTCTTGGAAAGCAGGGGTTTATTACAGACATGAACAAAATGCATTCATAGCCCCACCCCCTACTCTTAGGTGTGCGGTAGTTTTAGGTGTGAGAATGAAGACATGAATCAAATAGGGATCCCCTGGCTGCACAAGAAAAGTTCTGTGCAATATTCATAAGGCAAATCTGATCATGATGGAGAAGCCATTAAGAACAGCCCAGTCCACAGCACACAGCTCTCCATTGCAGGACTACAGGAGCATCCTCCAGGAGCATCCTCCAGGAGCATCCTCCAGGAGCATCCTCCAGCATCACTAAGTCCCAGTTCACATCAGGTGGGCATGGCGTAGATAATCAGGACAAAAACACCTGAGCAGACAGTAAGCAAGCTGGAGGAGCAGGATCAGTGGGAAGAAGAGCTTAAGAGTAACTATTCCCAGTACACACCATCCCAAAGAACCCACCCCTTATCAACCATTGTGGATTTAGCTTTCCCGTTGTGGATTTAGCTGCTGCTCTGTGTTTGGGCCTACACCCACGAGCACAGACCCTGCTGGAAGGAAACCAACATGGAACACTAGTTCACTCAAGCCAGCAAATGGTGTGCTGAGCTGACCAGTGGGAAGCACGACCACCTGGGGGAGATAATGTCTAAACACGAGATGAGATCAGACGGAGGTGTCCTAAGCGTGGCATCGCGTTTGATCATGGAGGGTGCAGAGTGTCTCTTTCCGTGGGAGCAGAGGAAGGGTGAAGGTCCACAGAGAGGGCCCTATAGGTGTAAAGGAATGAGGCGTGCCACAGAAAACTACATTTGGTCAAGTTTTAGGAGGCAGGAGGCAGAGGGCAGGGTTAGATGAATCAGCCTGTGTAAGCCATAGATGACGCCCTATGTGTGACACTGTCTGGACTTCTCCTTGTGGGGAAATAGTCACTGAGGTGTTATGCTGAGGAAAGCCACCACTAAAGCTACAGACAGGTATGCTGTGGGCCATCAAAGGAACCACATGGTTTGGTATGTGTCTTAGCATCACACTGCTTACCCTCCCAACCATTGTGTAAACACAGGAAAGGGGGCATTAAACAGATTTGTGATTTTGTTGAGACTGCTCTGGTGATACTGACTGGATTATGACACATTCCCTCACTACTTAGTGTCTCCTGCCTCTCCCTCCAGACCAATTTGACCCATAGAAGCCTAAAGTTTTGAAAACAATGAAAGCTATACTTAGTTCCAGATTGAAATTTTTCCAGCACTTCACAATCTGAATACTTCACTGAGAGCGTGCATCCAAGTATTTTGGAGACAGTTTATGGAATCATATTTCTCATTTGAAGTCAGTTTCTTTATCTGCTCCCCAAGTCCATATTGGTATGCCGACCCCTGACTTAGGAGGGTAAATTTTCGGGGCAGGGAGACACTGGTTCAGAGGGAGCAGTATGGATTCAGCCAGCATGAACCTGTCCGACAGCAGCTACTCCCTTGCTTGCATCTCTCTGCTTAGCCAGAGTCCGAGAACTCTGGTCCAAGAGTCAAGCTTCCACCGCACATCCGACTGGGAACTCCACACTAGACGGTGTGAGCAGTCTCAGCCCCTCACCGCTGGGGACTACAGAAATCTAGTCTAGTGGTTAACATCTGTGCATCTGTGAGCAAATATGAAATAACACGAAAAGAGACACTGAACTCAGTAAACACAGGGATGGGGGTGGGGAGTGGGGGGAGTGGAGTGTCCTTAGCCTTCCCAGCTTCCCACACATAGGAGGGGACTGTGCTAGAGTAAATCCGTCTCCTACCTTCAGTCTCCCTCCCATAGGGACAGTAATTCAAAGCTGATGTTCTAATCCTTGAGCCCAGTACCTGTCTCCTCAAACATTTTTTGGTACCAACAGTACAACCTGTGTCTAAACCTTTACAAACTACCAGTGTCAGATGTACCCTGATGATGCTGGAAAAATATGAACAATTATTGTGAAATTTAAAATGAAGGGTCATGAAATAATGTGTTGTTTAACAGAAACAGTCCGGGTGTATGTTTAACCCAATACAATCCTTCAAAATGTTGACTTATCTTTCATTCTTTCATGCCTAAGGAAGAGGGGCGAAAAGGGAGACAGTTCTTTTTCTATCCACTAGATGGCGGTATCATCTAGATGTTTACTTAAGACTAATGCATGCTAAAAAGTTTTGGAGCCTACACTTCAGAGAGGAAATGAGTCAGAAATGTTCTCTACCTAAAATCGGATGAGTAAAATAAATGAATTATTAATTGTTAAACTTCAAAACTCAGAATACGCCCACCCTCTACCCCACCTAGTGCAGCAGGAAGCCCGGGTCAGGCAGTGAGATCTGTCTGTCCCCTAAGGCGGAGGCAGAGGCGGCGGCAGCCTCTGGAACAAGTAAGATATGAGGTTCAACCCAGAGAACTCAGGGCCCCACTGACCTACTGAGATGACACCAGAGCTGTAACAGGCTCCCGGGCGAGTATCTGCACACTAAACTTCCCCTGCCACCTTTCTGTTCATAAACCGAAAGACTTTAAAAAGTCAAGTGCTTTAAACCCAGTTTCCATGGCACAGGCTCAATTCTTAAAGCATTTTCCACGAACTTGTTGTAATCTTTATCCAGAACCACATTTCCTGTATTTTTTTTCTGGACACTCACCCCAGTGAGTGGTGACACCACAGTGTCATCAAAACATGGAATTCCCACCTTCATCTGCTCTGTTATTTGTAATTCTCACTATACAATTGCTTATCATGTACTATGCCCTAGAAATCCAGGATTCAAAGATGCGGCCCCCTAGTATGCTGACACCTACACCTACACCTACGTACTCAGAGAACACTACTGCTGTGACCCGTGACAGAATGGTGCATCCCAGGATCTTGGAGCACAATGGAGGGCATGAGCCTTGAAGGATGATCAGAAACTTCCCATGGACGAGAAGAAAGGGGCCTTCCTCTCATATTCCCTTCTCTGTGGAACTACATAATACCCCCTTCCAACTCAGCCCTTTCCAGAACACTATTTCTTCATCACGCCGAAGTCCCTGTTTCCATCTGGAATTCCACAGCTCTTGAAGTCTTCTGCACTCAGTTTGGAACACACAACAAGTATCACCTGACTTACTTCGACAATAGCCCCTTCTGTATCCTTAACAAAAAAGATGTCCTCCAAGTTCACTTAAGCCTCCTTGGTCTTTAGCACTTAATGAACTGGGAAGCAGCTTTAGATAACATATGAAGTCTCTTCATTATTAATTTGCAGATGCTGGAACAGGAATAGGGTTACATCGTAACCGGCTTGCCAGCCTCATGAAGGCAGGCAAAATGGGAAAAAAAGCATCTGAGCGCCCAAGGCAGGGGCTTCTTAGCATGATTAATGAGCTCGCTTCCAGGGCTGGGGATGTAGCTCACGTGGTAGTGTGTTTGCCTAGCATACGTGAAATCTTGGGTTCTGTCCCAAGCAGCATTGCATAACCAGGCATGGTGGCCCACTCTGTAATGTCAGCTCTCAAGAGGTGGGGAGAGACAGAGACCAGGAAGTTCAAGGTCATTCCTGACCATACAGTGGGGTCAGAGCTTTCTGTAGGGAGTGCCTTGATAAAATAAAGCTGATGCTGACTAGCCTGCAGGGCTCAGACGGCCCAAACCATTAAACCAATTACATCTACTTTGCTCCGTTTCTAGATTTTCAACTGTGTCCCTCAGGCCAGCCCCTGAGTGGGTGTGTTTCAGGACAAACTGAACCTTAATCCTAGGAAAGCCATGACCTGGTCCTTCTCTACTGATTACTGTAGAGTCATATACTAACAGACACAAAAATGAAGGTTATAACATCTGTTCTCCACGGTACTGAGACTGATTTTTTTAATATTGCAAGTGACCGGGAATCTTGAGAAAGGAGGAGGAAAGGGAAGTTCCTTTTAAATCTTATGCTCTCATATTGTATCACTGTAGTTAGTTCATCCTGGGGAAACATCCATTGTCTTAGCAATGAAGACATCATTTGGAGGATGCAGTCAAAGCCCTGACCATATGACATCTTTCCTGATCAAATCTCTCTACCTGTTGATGGGGAACCTCCAAAGAGTCTTGTCTCAAAGTGTAAAGAAAGCATACGCTTAGTGGTCAAAAAAAATATTTTCACATCCAGATTCCCAAGAAAATAATGGAAAACCGAAACCCACAGAAGAGCGTTAATGATGAAGCCTCGGAGAGCGGAAGAGAAATGGATAAAAAGATAAAGGACTGGATTATAGAGAAAACCGTGTTCTCACAGAGCAAGGTTGCTGTAGGAATGCCAGTAACTTCTGTAAGGATATATCTGTATCCTTAAATGGGGCCGATATTAAACCACACCGAAAGAGCTGGGCAGAGAGCAAAAGGGATAGTGAGGTCTTGAGAAACTGATTATTTCTCTGGCCTTACGGTACTTGCTTACAATTGTTGTGACAAATGAGCTCTGGGTGTTCCATTCCCTGGGGACAGGAACAAAGAAACTGGGTTAAAATATAATGGGAAGAAATAAAGACAAGTAGGCAGACGTATCCCTAACAATGAAAACTTAGGGAAGATGAACACAGGGAGGCATTCAGCCTTCCCTCTGCTCTCCTCTTCCTCAGTGCAGGCCCCACTGAACACAAACAAACCTTTCTTTGCTTTTCACTGAAACCTATTAACTAAGAGAAACTCTGTAAGGGTCCTTCTAGAATGTCTATAAGGAAAATGTCAGTCTTGTCAGTCTGCAGGCTGCAGACTCTCTGGGCTTTGCACCTGGCCCTGACACAACTCAGAGGAAGTGCCCTTGGGTCACTAGTTTACTTCGTACTGGGGACTAGGTCTTTGTCAGATCAAGTATTCAAAGCTAAACTCATGAAAATGACTCACCTGGTTGCCCCCACTCTTCGGGTTCACAAACACAAGCAAAGGCTTCATGAGAGGAGAGGATATGGGCTTGATCACAAAAGGACGACCTCTGTTTTCCTGCTGGAAGAGGCAGGCAGCACTATTAGGATAAATACCCACGGGGGGCTTGGAAACAATCACAAAGCAAGGGAAGAGAGAACCCTGTGCACCCCCGGGACACCGAGTCTATTTCACAGGGCTGAATCTTCATGGCGGTGTGTACACACCACCCGGAAGAGAGCACCTCCCGCTACCATTTACTCCAGAAAACTGAGCTACGCTTTGGATCTCATTCTGCATACGCTAAGAGTTGTGGAAGGGCCAATTCTCCTTGTCATCTTTATCATCAGCGTCATTTTGGGGAAGACATTCCAGGCAGGGGCAGATGCTCTGACTCTGATACGACAGGTCAGATTTGACGAGTTGATGGACAGACCGGTGGATTGGGGGCACGAGGAATTCCAATGAGAGTAGAATGGCCTGAAGGGCAGAAGGAGTGTAGAAGGCGCATCTCAAGATGTGTGGGCCAGATCCTCGGGGCTAAGCAGCCTCTGCAGAGGAAGCTGTATATCTAACACGTCTCCCTGAGAGACTTACCTCCGTCCCTCTTTTACTGGCTTTCCTTTTAAAGCTTGTTCTTTTCTTCTTCCGACTAGACGCCTTCAGGGAGTTCTGTGGGGAAAGAAGGGAGCAGCTAAACGCAGAGGCAGACAGCCCCGGCGTTGCCATGCAGAACCATGAAGGAGAGGACAGCAGCGCATGCTGTTAACTGCATGCTTCATGCTTTGACACTTCCAAGCCACTGCTCATGGGTAAGCCACAGACAGAAAGAAACCAGTGCTCCAGAGTGAGCAACTGACTCCCCGCCACAGGGTGGGCAGGGAGTTAGAGCCACAGGGGCCCTTAGGGACTCACATAACAACACATGGTATACCTGCCAACCCTCCCAGTAAAAATGGAAGAATCCCAAATTCTCTGAGGGGCTCCAGTCTCCCGCCCAACCAGGTCCGTCTCCCGCCCAACCAAGTTCAAGTTCATCTCCTGGTATGGAGATCACCTATGTGGAAATGTAAAAAAGGAGGCCATTTTTTATGCTTTTATTTTTCTCTTTGTTTTTTTTCTTTCATTTTCCTTCTTTGTTTACTGTTTATGATCTTCCTTAGTAATAGTTAAAAATGACACTTGATCCCAATAGAACTTCACAATCCAACTATCTTAACAACACTGAGGCATAATATTTTGAATGCTGGGAAGACATTATGACATAATAGTGGAGTGACGAGCATTACTCTTTCTTTCTCTGTCTGAAGATCCATTAATTTAAATGTTTTCCCTCCACTAAGTAGCTTTGAACATTTTAATGGAAGTGACTCCAAATTGTTGACATACAGTGACCCTTAATTTTACTTTCTCTTCCTAGAGATTTTATGACCCATAATCCATGATTACTCTGACTAACCAATTTCTCTTAATGTTTTCCAAAAACACTTGGAGGAAGAACTCTTACAGGACAATCACACTTACTGGTTGAAGACCACACATAAATCAGATTTAATAGTGGACTCAATATTAATTAGACTGCATCTTTACAAAGGTAAGATAGTACTGACCATATAATAGATGTTTGACCAAGTGTTGAGAGCCTGAAATGCAGAATTCTTAACTTAGAAGTTGACATTAGAATACACACTTACATTATTTGAGCAGTTAATAGTTTTCAAGCCTGAAGAAATTTAAATAGCTAACCACAAGTATTTTCTTCTTAGAGCATTCAAAACTAAGCATTAGTCTAGAACACACAAAGTAATACATCAAATTCAACAAGATTCAAATGAGCTAGTATTTATTTCACTTTCACTTAGCTAAAGAAGAAAGGAAGAAAGAAGGGAGAAAGAAGGGAAGCAGGCAAGCAAATGGATGTGTAGCCCATGGTCCCCACGCTGGGGAGATTTCTGAAGAACCTCCATGCATGCCCAGGTTTTCCTCTTTAACCAAAGGGGAATGTCTTCAGGACCTCGGAGACTCTCCAGGAAAAGAGATTTGCGAAACTGGGTGCCCCTGACTCCAGAGCTTCCCTCATTATTCATTGGTAACCACACTTCCCCTGAAAAGAGATCCCCTGGCTTCTAAACCCCTAGGCTAAAGGGAACTCTAATCATGTTCTTGTCTCTCATTTTTTAAAGGCAGATGTCATAGTTCCATCTATTTCAGTTCACGTAGAAGAAGGAAGCCCGGGGAAGCTGAGGCTGCAGAAGAAGCTTCTATCAGGCACCATCAAATGATGCTCCAAGTGCTCCTCGACCAGCATTACACACACACTAGCCTTACTCAGACAGCTTTTTAAAAACGTTCAGCCCTAGACCCTGTACAACCCTATTAATCTGAAGTGAAGCCGAAGCAAAGATTAAACAACTTCCTGAGTGATCCTATCATATACGATGCTGAAAATGCGGGTTTGTAACTGAAAAGTGGCATTAAAGAGACCCCAGTAAGGCAGATCACCAGGAGGACCACGAGCCCGATGGGTTTGCTACAAATCCAGCACAGCTCCCTATAATGAGATGCATGCACTTTACTGAGTCGGGCAAATGTTTGAAACAACAGGCTCTTAGTTTTAGCATGAAGTAATAATAGCTACCTCATAGAACTGTTGTAAAGTTTAGACAAGAAAAGGTCTATGTGAAGCAGTTAGTTTTTCATCCATTGCATGTGACCTGAATCCGCTCACATCTCTTAACCTAGCACAGATCCTTTTTGCACAGCCACATCCAAATCATGGGCACATGACCAACACTGTTTACTAAGCCTCTTCTGGCTTGCACAACTGTGCCTAGGATATGACCACTTGCCTCCCCACTGATTTGGTGTTTTAGCTCATATCCTGCCTAGAACAAATAAACACAAATACCACTTGCTTGCAGGAACACACTAGGGGGCCTCGGTTCTTGACAGAGCTCAACAATTAAACTCCAAGATGCAGTCCTACTGCATCAGGCGAAGACCTCACACAGCTCTCTTAAGCTTATCGTCACATTTATAGCATTTTGGGCGATTCCAATGGTCAAGCACATTTGGGAAACGCAGAATTAGAAATGAGGGAAGAAATCTGAAAACGGCTGAGCAAGCGAGCAACTCAACTCTAGTAAGAAGTAGACACAAAAAGCAGTCGTTAGCACAGATGGGGCGAGTGTCTCAGAGCCTCACCAAGGCTTTCTTTACAAACCCAGTACAGTGGTTGACTTCCAGCACCTGGGAGTGTCTGTGTGAGATCTAAGGAAGTCTATGGCATCAAGAGTGATCAAACAGCAATAGCAAGCACTCTAGAACTTGCCAGAACACCTCAATATTCCCACGGATCCCCTTCTGTTTGAGTACAAATGTCCAACACCACTTCTTCACTCACAAGACAGCAGTAGCGTCTTGAGAGGAATGGATGGCCAGGAAGGCAGATTTGGAATGTACCGCAGCCATGACAAGCTAAGATACCTATCCACACTAACAGCAAAGCTTGCCCTGCCTGGGTTAGTACTGGGGAACCCAACAAAGCAGCCTGTGTTGTGAGAATATAGAGGCAATGTCCCAAAACTTGTAACCAAAGAGTCAAGAAACCTTTCACACTTCATACAAAGCCTGCCTGTTCTAGCCAGGACATCTAACTCAGTGGCATAAGTGATTCCCTTTCAAGAGCAACACTACTCAGACTGGTTTTTATGGCCTGTTAATCTCAACAGCAGTTGCCTTTTGGCATTTCATGCCTATCCTTCTGTGAAAGACATCAGAAAAGATAAAGGCCCTTTGTCTTCTTGAACCAGATATCAGGACAATCTCCTCTTGCCACTGAAGTGATCCTATCAGCCAAGCCTTTATCAGAGTTATGACTCCTTCCTGGGCAGTTAAGAAGTCCTTATGGATGAATCATTTAACTGTAAGTGAAACTTTAGCCCTTATTACCCTTGAGGGACTATTTTCAGACTATGGGATCATAAATAATTGGTTATATTAAAGGGCCTAAAAATGATATATCACTTCATTATAACAAAGGAAGTCTCTCCCACAAACACTGGACAGTGTTTTGACAGGTCATAGAAGGAAGAATCCAGAGCTTTGTTCATGTAAGGGATGCTCATGTCCTGCTCCAGGTGCCCCCACAGGAATAAAGATGATTCTGAGAACAGTGAATAACAAATAAAACTTGTCCCCAAAGTTGAGGAGCAGGTCACAGGAGCTCCAAGTAACATCAAATCCTGAGTGGTAGTTTGTCTTCATAACTTACCCAAGGAAATAGTTTAAGCAAGTCTAGGTGTGTGTGTGTGTGTGTGTGTGTGTGTGTGTGTGTGTGTGTGTGTGTGTGTGTGTGTTAATCACTGAGTAAAATCTGTCATCCATTTCACTGTACTCCAGCAATTAAAGATCATCCAGTCATAATAAGACAGCGAAGAAAGAAAACTAGCAAGAAAAAGAAACCTCACCCAGGAGTAGGAAGGATTGAACACAGCACTGTTTGCAAACAGGACATTAGAAACAATGTAAACATCTATCAGTAGGGGTATGGATCAACTATAAAACGCCTACTGAATGGGAACAGCTAAAAATGATTTAGGACCATGTGTACTACTAGAGTCAAATACCCAAGATTCATTCTTTGTACTAAGCGAGTTCTGAAGAATTACTGGTAACCAGCATCACTCATTAACAACCCTCAACGCAGCACACACTACTGTATCTATTCTAATGGTGCATTTCTATGCATGTAAACTGTAGTGAAAATATGGGGTTGTGATAGAAAAGCCAGGAGAGGTGTACAAAGTTTTATGTTAGTGAAAGGAGACTTTTGTATCAGAAGTTTCGTTTGTACAGGGATAATGTGTGTATATAACTCATTATGCACTAAAGATTAAAATAAAAAAAGACTAAGACAATCCTCCCTTCAAAGACTACAGTGTCCCAACTCGATCCTATGAGTTTGTGTTCCCTAGGGGAGACATAAATGTATCTAAAGCATTATTTGTATATTGTGGGGAAGAAAGGCCGGCTTGCAGCAGGAGGAGGACATTGCTCGGGCCTGATGGTAGACAGATTGTTGATACATGTGAACTCTATTCTGAAGTAGTGGGCTTCCTTGAGGAAAAAAAGTTATAGAGTAAGATTAGTGTTTTAGATGGGAAACCCAAAGTGTGTAGGGAAACATCAGAAAAGAGAACCCTGCCAAGTAGGAATAGTGCTGTTAGCATAGTTCCATTACTGCAGACAGAAAGATGTTGAATTCCATAGCTATACAATTAGGGGTAGTCGGCTTGAGTTTGTGATCAGATTATGACTGACAGACCCAAAAAGTGTAGAGTGTAGCTCATTAGAGGCAAAGTGATAGCAACATGGAGACCAAAAATGTCAAAAATCCCTTAGAGACACTGAGAAGAAGCTTAAAAGAAGGAAGAATAGGATGGCTGTCCAACTTTGGGAATCTATTATCTGTCTGTCTCTCTGTCTATCCACTTCATATCTCTCTCTCTCTCTCTCTCTCTCTCTCTCTCTCTCTCTGTGTGTGTATGTGTGTGTGTGTGTATCCACACATCTGTATTCACATTCTAATCCCCCTCATATTTCTTCAAAATATAAAAAGTCAAGAAGATATTCTCAATTAAGAAAGTATTTAATAAGGCATGTCCTAGAATGCTATTATATTCAGTATGATGTCTAAAGATGAATAAGATGAGATCTAGTTCCACAAACATTATACTTCCTAGGGAAACACAAATATAGCTAAAACATTATTGTGGACTCTGAAATAGAGATTCAAGCCATATAATCACCCTTAACAAAGAGTGGCCTCCTGCTATTTTAGACGTTTCCTCCTACATGCCTCAGCAGAGACCTAGTGTGATCCAACTCAGCTCACACGCCCAGAAATATAATTTTGTCCCCGGTGTGCTATTGTCCTGCCTGCTCCTTGTTCTCTAGTCTACTGCTCTAAATCCCACCCACCTTTTAAACAGAAAGATAATCCCTACAAAGATAATCCCTACATCCTCAGGAAAGCACCCCAAGCTAATAAGAAGATATTGGCTTAAACAGGAAAGCTACTAAAAGCACAGAATGGGATTAGCTACTAAGATAGCAGATTCAATTCGCCTTAAGAAAACATTGTGGCTCTCTAAGCAGGCCTTGTGTGTAACAGAGATCATGACTCACAGTCTGCCCTTTACATGGGCAGAACTCTTAACCAAATTATGATGCTTGCCAAGCTTGCTCTGTGTTACCACTCTCAGGCTTGGAAGAGAAGACAGCACGTAAGACTCTGCTATACCCTCACGGGGACTCACTGAAACTCGGGAGACCTGCCTTCATAGAGCACCATTACACATGGATGAGGAGGACACGCCCTTACTCTGAAACAGGGTTTATGTGAGGATGGGTTTCTGGTTCCATGAGACAGCCCAGTGAGGTCAAGTGATGGGCCAATGAGATGAGCTTGGTAGCTAAGCACCAGGCCACAGGGATGAACGTGGGGGGGGTCATAGGAGCCTAAAGACTGTTGAGAGAGAAAAGCAACATCACCGCAGTTCATTTTTCTCTGCACTGGGCCAGCAGCACCAGGGTCCTGCAGTTACCTGAGGTCTCTTCACCTTAATGATCCAGGTGGGTGGGACAATCACAGCAGCGTGAGCCCCCAGGGAGCAGGGTTCCTCAATGTGATGCAGCATGAAGCAGGTCACCTTATTGTGAAACTGAAGAGAAAAGCAGGCTAGTGAGCAATTCTGAGCAAGAGGTAATTCACAACCAGAAGGGATAGACACACACACAAATACACACATGCACACTCACATGCTTACACACAAACACACACACACACACACACACAAATTACACATTAAGAAACACATGCATCTCATCAGCATTCAACTATTGAACCACAATACTCATTCCAGTATTGATGTAACAGTTGTAAATAAGAACCAGCAGGTTGAAGCCTGCTAAGACATTCTGTTTAATGGAATGTCTACATAAAGATGCTGAGTTTTGGAGGGATCTGTTAACCTTAATGACATACAAAGTTTTATATTATATAATGTAGAGGAGGAAATGAAGACAACTGGGAAGGCAGGACCCACACCTTGACTGTTTGTTTCTATAAGAGCTGTAAAGCCTCCCAACCAATCTTTCAAGCACAAGGAGCCAGGAAGGAAGACGTGATCTCTTCTATAAAGCTATTAACCTCAGTGGAAACAAAACACAACAAGATCGCTTCTACTGGCCTTATCTAGAGCCCTTAAAAATACCGTGGCCCTATTACACTTGAGAAGTGTAGAAGCTTGTTCTTAACAGGAAGGAAGGACACATGAGCTGATGACAACACCCCAGTGTGGGAGGCTTAACTCACCACTCTGTTGTGAGGCTGGCACTGCGACCTCATTCTAATCATGTTTTCAGTCACCTTCTGACTATGAGGTGATAGTCACATGTGGGGATATTTCATTTCTAATGAATGTAAAAATCATCTTATGCAATAATTAAAGAACTTAAGTTCTAATCACAGTGACTTTTTATTTAAATTAGTTGGAACTTGAATTATACTTATTGTATGAACACACAATTCACATTTCAACTGAGCTGGAGCTATTCGAGAGTGAAAGAAATCACTGATAATAACAATGTCAGGAAACAGGCATCAATTAGGATTGTATGAGGAAAACTGGCAAACACAGCTACCGTAATTTTATTCTACACGATCACAAAGACTTTGTTTTCACTTCTGCATATTGTCAAGATCTCCTCTGATCCCGTAGTTAATTAATACCAACCATGGATAAAATGCTGATTAAATAATTAATAATTCTCCATACCACCCATTATTTGGGATCCACAAACAGATTAAGCCAGAGGGATACCATACCAGAAAAATGTTATTTGAACACCTTCTTTCAAAATTGATTGTTATTTACGCAATTTGTTAAACCTCAATGTACGACCATCACATTTCTACAGTGGTAAGAATCTTACACATTGTCTGAGCAACTCTTTTAACTTACACTTGAGTGATCTCAAAGCTAGAGACTAACAGGTATACTTAGGTTTGTATAACCTTTAAATGTTGGAGCCAAGACATATACATAGGAAACCCAGCTCCCTAACCCAAGGTTTCCTTCCTATATCATAGAGGATCAGTTATTTGTTTCTTTACCTGACACCAACATTCCTAGAAGGAATTACTTGAACCATGAAAATATATCAATACTATAATTTCTGTGAATATATTCTGCACATAAGACCTTGCAAAAAACTATTTCCACACTTTCTGGGATAATAAAAATTGTGAAATTGGCCAAAGCTCTGCCACACTGTTAAAGTGAAAAGTAAGTCTCTATAGTGAGTCAGTTAGATGACAGATTAATGAAGAGAATACGGGTATTCACTGTAAAGTAGGATTAAGGCTTCAAATTAATGGACCCTGAACAAGACATCTCAGGAAAGTTTAATCCCAGAGGGAGATCCTGCACCTATGTTGTAGAGTTCACTATAAGTACGATGATAGCCTTGTGCTTGTGAACATGTTTTTAAGCAGAATCACCAAGGTTACATCTGTGATAACTGGAATGAAATGAAAATGCAAGAAAACAAAACATGGTATGATGATGGCAGAGTCAACCCTGAATCTTCCAGACCAATGAGTGGGTCTACACCTAATAGCAGGCTCTCCACAAATGAAGGACCTGGGGAAATTATGCTGGTAAGACTATTAGGCTGAATCTTATAGACTTGCTATAATGCAAAGGGTTTAATCAACAAAAATGTCAACTGCTACTGTTTCGAACTGCATCTGTTCCAGTCCCTTTACTAGGATTGAATCTGCTATGTGTCTACCTGCAAACCCTAAATCTAGCAAACACAACATAAACTTTCTTTTCATGTCTCCTTTGCAATAAACAGGTGATGTATTTTAATCTACACAGTCACTCAAAAGAGTAGGTAGAAAGCTGATGGGCTAGTACATATCATATGATCCAAGCATCCAGGTGTCTGAAGCAGAAGGATTATAAATACAAGGGAGGCATATTCTACACAGCAATTTTTCACCATTTTTCTACCTTGAAAATACTGTTCAATATTTTTCTAACTTGAAAAATAAAGAGTAGATAGATAGGGAGACTGGGGGAGGGTGGAGATTAGCAAACATCTCAATTCATCAATGAGGTATGAACAGAGCTACAGATGACCCATGAACAATTGGGTATGGCTATGCTACAGTTAACTACTATATAAAAATAAGGAGCAGGCAGATTTTTCCCTGCATGCCATAGTTTGCCAGCTCTGCCGGCCACCATAGAGGAAAGCAAATGAGAAAGTGCAGCATCTGTTTTAGATGGTGGTGCTTTTAAGAGTAGATGAGAATGAGATGGAAGATAAAAGAAAAAAGGAGTAAATGGGGAATTCGTGTGGGATCCTAATGCATACACATGGTCAAATGGTAGGAAGGGCTACGTCTCAGTGGGCACAACATAAAAGACACTCACTCTTCACAGCCCCATAACAAAGCCGCCCACATCAAGATCAGGGGACCCAGAATGCCTGGTGCCCTGTGTTGCAGAGTTCACCCAAGGCTCCCTGTGCTGTAGTTTGGTATGATGAGGCACCCTTAGCAGTCTAATGGACAGGGAAGACACGTGGGTGATCCAGGGGGAAGGAGTTCTAGATTCCAGTCCCAGGGTAAGAATCAGAGACGGTTTCCAGTTTTTCATCTTAGGCTTCAAGTTAAATGAAAGAACTCAAATTTTTCTCTCTGGTTTTCCCTACTTATATTTTGCTTTTGTTACTATCTTTCTTCTTCTAAGGATTCTATATGAGAAAAACACTGAGTGTTCGGTTAGTGCAATCTTCCACATGTAAACAGGAGCCCGAGAGTTTGGAAAGGCCAGTCACAGTCCCACGTGAGCCTGCATTGCCGATTCATCCCACACTTACCGCCTGCTTGCACCAAGAACAGCTGATGGCCACGATCTCTTTACTGTGGAAGGAGAACTTTTGCTGGAAGCCCTGAGACAATAGGACAAGAGACAGAGTTTAAAACCTTCATTACAGCCCACATTTGCCCTGCTGAGGTTCACTGAAGTGACAGAGGGCAGAACTGTTGTCCATTGCTATTGTAACCACCACTGCCAAGTGCCACATAGCACTACCCTCTCCACCTTCTGCCATGACACCATTTTCTATTTCTGAGCCATCTGGAGCACGAAACAAAGGAGGCAGTGGTGTCTCCCACACCACAAGTTTCTCCAAGCTAGCCACACTAAAATAAGCCATTTCCCTTAAAAAAATGTGTCTCACTTATGTGTGTATGCACATACAGTATATGTAAACACAAACGTACCATAAACTGTATATATTGCAAACTACATATTTTAACTAAAATAAAAATCATTGCTTCACTTACTCACATACTCTTGAGGCTCTGTTCAACTTTTGTATCTGAGAACCCAGGAAGAGAAATTAAATACCAAAAGCAGAACCTAGATGCCAGGGACTGGGAGAACCCAAGCTTAGAGTAATAAATTCAAAGGCTTTCCCCCTTTCCTCAGGATGTCCGTTCTCTGAACAAGATGCTTTTCAGTTTCATTCTTAATCAGCAAACACTAGCTAAGACAATGCAATTGCCAAAGAGTCTCCTTACACTAACAAAGCAGACTGACTTTCCCATCAAGAAAGGTAATCCCCAAAGGAAGTACACAGCAATGCTCAAAGAATCTTCTCCCAAACTCAGCCACTTGACTCTTCCTACAGAGAAACCACAGTTTCCCTGTCAAATCTAAAAGATTCAGTCTTACAGCAGAGTTCTTGGTCTTCTGGCTCTTACACTCTTTCTGCCTCTCTTCCAAGATGAGAGTCATATGTAAAGGGGTGTGTGTTGTAGATGTTTCATTTGGGGCTATGCACCCAACAGAGAATTGCTCTCTGCATTCTGACTAGTTTTGGCTTTCTGTAGTGGTCTTCATCTGTTGTGAAAAGAAGTACCTTTGATCGAGATGAGAGCTACACATAAGGATAGGTATCCAGATTGCAGTTAGGAATTACCATGGGTTAGGAAAGTAGTAGTAGCAACTCTCCTAAGGGATCTCTGACCTCACTAGCCTCGGTTAGGTTTCCAGTACCAGGCATGATTCCCTACTGTTTAATTGGCTTGAAGTCCAATGTAGACAGAAGTTCAAGATAGACATGCTACTATTGCACCTTTATGGGTATCTCGCTGGGCTGACCATTGTTCTGGTTCGTAGGTGTCACAGCCAAGTAGGACTATTTAATGTTCTGCCCCTCTGGCAGGTTGAGTAGCACCTTATGATACTGCAAACGTTAATCCTCAGGGAGGAGGGTTTTGGGTCAGATCCAGCTCACAACCTCTTTGTCTTGTGTCCAAAGCACTCAGTATCAATGGAGACTTGCCTTCAACTTCTGGGAATCCACTAAGGACAATAGCAATAACTATATTGCTTTAGGAGTCTTTTAGACTCCCATGACCAACAACTCTAAAGGAGGTTTCTCATGCCTGGCACTGGGACATTTGTTAGACTCTCTATGGCTCCTGGGTGGAGCATTATTACCTTAAGTGGCATAATTTCATTTAAACGCCATGTGTGTATAAACATAGGCTTGTGTGTATTGTGTGTAAATTTAGACAAGTATGAAATGGTTCCTTGTGGCTTTTTCAAGCATCTTTATTGCTGCTGTGTTGTCCCGTCTTCCTTCTCCTATGTTGACCTCCCTTCCCCTCACCAACTAAAGCCCTTCCCACAGAGGCGGCAGAAGGGAGAAAGGGAAAAACTGGAAACGTGATTTATCGATTTAGAACAGTGACAAGGCTCACTTGCTCTCATGGCTTTGTAACAACTTCTCCGTAACAATCAACAATAATGATAATATCTTTGCTCCCTGTTCAGGGAAGAGTTGGAAAAGGTGCTTGCAAACTTGGCACAGGCTTAGCATCTGGAATCTTACCCTTTGGGAGACTTTGCTCAATTCCCAGAACAAGTTGAATGGCTCCTGGCCTCACATTGCTTAATGAGAAAGATACATAATATTTATATGTTTTCCCACAACTCACTATTGGAGGAACTTAGTGCAGTCTACAGGACTCCAAACGGAAGCTGGTGGTAGCTGGTTTCCTTTTTGCTGACCTTGCTTTGGGTCTTTGTGTTATAACAAACCACAGACAGGAGTTCTATGTGCAAGCCCTCTTGTGAATCATTGCATCTTGGGTGAACTCCAGGACCCTGACACAGCCTCTCTAGCTATGTCTTGCTAAACCTCATTCTGTCAACAGCAGTGGCTTTCCCACAGAACAATACTGCTTCCATGTTACACATTAACTGAAATACAGGGTCAGCTTTGACATCCCTGTACCCGCAGAAATCACCAGCCCACCTCCAGTGATGAAGCGTCAAAACCACCCAACAGGAATGTTACTGAGAGGACACAAAATCTAATGAACTAGAATACAGGGACAGCTGGGCTTTTCAAAAATGTTATCAAGCTGCTCGATGTATCCCCCAAGAAGCCCAAATGGCTTAGTGTTAGAGACACTTGAAAAGTTCATTGGAGTCAATTTTGAGGGAGCAATAAAAGAGAGAGATGGCACATTTCTTCAGAGCTAGAGCAAAAATTTGTGACACTGTCTGATCAAGGGAGCAAGTGTCTAAGAGAAAGTATGACGGAGCTAGTATGGGACAGAGCCCACAAGTGTCTCAGGTGCTGGGCCTCATGCCCATCCAGGCATCCAGGTGTGACGCCCGCTCATTGCACATGTGACACTGTGCTCATGGTATGTGTCATCTCTGTATTAGCAGTCCTCCCCCTCCCCATGTCTCCTGATCAAAGGCTTCAGTGATATCTCTTTAATTGAAGAATAAACCATTAATCCAAGCATTTAGTATCAACCACAATCAGCTTTGCATCCCCCTGTCTCTGTGTGTGTGTGTGTGTGTGTTTGCACATTTGCATGTGTTTTGGCACATGCATGTGTATGTGTATGTGCATTTGGAGGACAGAGGTTATCATTTGGGCATCTTCCTCACTTTATTTTCTGAAGCAGAGTCTCTCACTCAACTTGGCACTTGTGATTCAGCTAGTGTAGATATCCTTGCCATAGGATCACTTCTCTCTGCCTCCCAAGAGCTGGAGTTACAATCAGTCAAACTCTCCCAGATTTTATGCAGATGCTGGGGGGTCAAAACTCTGGTCCTCACAGTTGCATGGCATCTTAACCATTTCCCCTGCCTCAGATCAATCCTTTGACAGTAATATTCCACTATTACTATGAACTCATACCTACCCAGTGAGATGGGTCTAACTATATTCCACACCATGCCCTGTTCTTTTAAATTTGCATGTCTAGGCCCATCGTTACTGCTTACCTAGAAAGCTGTCATCTCTCTATATGCAGTGCCTACATTTCAAATCCACAGCAAAAATCTAAAAACAAAACCTCTCAAATTACTCCAATTTGCATGATCTTTCCACTGGCTATGTCACCCCTGCCACTATTTAGATGCCCTCAGTCACGGATGGTTTGATATGCTTGTCCATCTCCAATAGAAGTGTAAGGTCTTGAAGTAAATCACTTCATAGTTCCCAGGAACTTTGAATAGTTCTTTAAGTATCACCATGCACATATCTTGTTACTAACTAAATGAGAAAGTTGAGGCTATCATGTCTTAACTCAGCTACAAACATCGTGCTGTACAAGATTTGAACATCTTACCCCAAGTTATCTGAAACTATGTTTCCTCACAGTAACTTCAATCGGGCAGATAACCAGCCACTACAAACACTGCAAACATTCTGGGTTTCTAAATTTGACTCCTAAGTTTTCAATATTGCAAGGCTGTGTGTGAGATATCAATAGGATAAAATGTGTGGCCTGATAGGTAGCAGCTGTAGCTTCATTAAGAGGGTGGCTAAAGTTTATGACCAAGGTACTAGCGCCTCAATCATACACGTCAGACACTTGTATATCAAACAGAAGCAGAAGGATGGGAAAGCCGAGATCAAGTCTTGAACCTTCTTATGGCCTAAGTGATTTCAGGCAAATCATAGACTTCTAACGTCTCTCTGAGCCCAAAAATGGGAATAACTCAAACTCTCCTCCAATTCCAGATGACAAAAAGCATCAAGTGAGACAAAGTATTGAGATGTTGTTATAATGTCATATACACACATATGTAGACATGAAAGAGTTCTTTTCACCGATAAACCTGTCAGCAGGGATGTCTTTTACCTCCTTTTCTAAGATGAGACTGGATACTACTCTATATGTACTCAGCTGCATCCTCCACTGTATTGCATCTTAGCCTTCCAGCTTCAAGAAGAAAACAGTCTCCTAGGGTGCCGACAGCCAGACTGACATCCAAACCAAACAAAGCCAGTAGCAACTAGGGCGCTGAGCTTAATGTTTATGTAGAACTGTGATGGGGCCCTGGGAATTGAGCCTCCAGGTAAGCAGCCTGGTGCTTTATTTTGTATTCTATCCCAGCAGAGACACAGAGACCATGGCTTCAGAGTTATCACCTAATACATGGTCATAGAGCTTACTCACAGTTTTTGTGAACCAAGTTCCCAGAAGACTAGCCGCTGTGGGGAGATTTTTGGGCAGTCTCCTAAGCGTAATATAAAGAGTCAGATCCTAATCACTCAGGCTTAATTATGGTCCAGATCTGCTATTATGGTACTGACAGATGCCCCGACTGAATTCCAAATGACTCTGTGTTTTTTCAGAGCTATTTGCTCAGCCCCGTGAAAGAGGAAAGTGAGGACAAGAAGCCAGATGCTTTAGATCCAACTGACTCCAGACTAAAAATATCAACCAAGTGACTCTGTTGGATATTTGGAGATTTTTCCAATCAAATTGAGCCTTTGGAAAAAAGTTTAAATAAGATTTATTCTAAGTGGCTTTGAACTTTGTTGCCTCTCTCTTGTCCCATCTATACCAGGTAAGAAATGGCACTCAACTCTATAGCCTTGTAGAAGAGGTAGTTTTCCATGAAGTG